TGAATAAATGATGTGATTGTATGCGTCAGTGCTGTCGGTGTCTCAGTCTGTGTATGCGATACAACACTAGTGTATGTATGCAATGATCTCATGCCATGTGAACCACTGCTCCCCTAATAATGACTTTACTCTCCATTTAGTGTTTAATTAAATTGTATTTAAATCTCAATTAGAAATCAATTGTCACTTATTTTTGTGAAAATCATTACTATTTTTGAGATCAACTTTTTTGTTGTGTTTTTTATTTTTCTATTACTATTGAGTGAAACAACAAATCATTTCATTTCAGACAACAATTGAATCACATTTTGTTTCAACACTTCTTCCGACCAAACAATCACTCATTTGTTTGACTTTTGATTAATTAATAATTTATTTATTTTGTATTTAATTAATTAAAACCAATCGTTAGAAGACATGGAAACGAATAAATTGATTGAATTATTTAAGGCGACAATCGATCCGAACCTTCGCGAAGACGCCGAGAAACACTTGGATCAAGTGAGTGATGACTTGACGTGATTTGCTCTCTAACCACATGTTTGTCATTAGGTGTACAAAATCATTGGTTTCGTGCCATCGGTTCTGCGGTTAGTGATGGACAACAGCGTCGAGATGCCCGTCCGTCAGGCGGCCGCCATCTATATGAAGAATCAGGTGTCGCAGAACTGGATGGATAAGACACCACCGCCCGGACAACCGGCACAACTGGTCTACTCGATCCACGAACAGGACAGGGGTCTGATCCGCGACTCGATAGTGGACGCCATAGTGATGGCACCGGACCTGTTGAGAGTGCATTTGGCCACTTGTATCAATCATATGGTAAAACACGATTTCCCGTCGCGTTGGACCACAATTGTGGACAAAATCGCGGTATATCTGCAAACCCCGGACGTGAGCGGATGGATGGGAGCGCTCGTAGCTCTCTATCAATTGGTGAAGAACTATGAATACAAGAACAATGAGGACAGAACACCACTACTCGAAGCACTCAAACTGTTAGCCCCACTCATGTATAATCTATTGGTGGGTCTAATGCCAGACCCGAGCGAACAATCAGTTCTGCTTCAGAAGCAGATATTGAAGATATTCTATGCGCTGATCCAATATAGCTTACCATTGAGTTTACTCACCAAAGATATCTTCACACAATGGATGGAACTGTTTCGACAAGTGGTCGATAGGGATGTGCCAAACGAGACAAACAATATAGACGTCGACGAGAGGCCAGAGTTGGCCTGGTTTAAGGTGAAGAAGTGGGCCGTCCGGACACTGTCCAGACTTTTTGAACGCTACGGATCGCCGGGAAATGTGCACAAAGAGTATAAAGGGTTCGCCGATTGGTATATAAAGACATTCTCTCACGGAATCATTCAAGTGATACTTAAGATTCTGGAGCAATACGGCCATAAGGTATATGTGCCGCCCCGTGTCCTACAACAGGGCCTCAATTACCTGAACACAGCTGTCAATCACGCGTTTACGTGGAAACTGATTAAGACACACATGTCTGTCATCGTTCAGAATATACTCTTCCCTCTCATGTGTTATACCGACGAAGACGACGAGCTCTGGAGCACTGATCCGCACGAATACATTCGCCTCAAGTTTGACGTCTTCGAGGACTACGTGAGTCCCGTGACGGCCGCCCAAACACTTCTGCACACGTGTTGTAAGAAACGCAAAGATATGCTCCAAAAGTCGATGGGTTTTGCCGTTCAAGTGCTGAGTAACGCGACGTCCGATCCGCGCATGAAAGACGGCGCCCTCCATATGGTCGGGTCGGTGGCAGACATTCTCCTCAAAAAGGACTTATATAAGGATCAGATGGAGAATATGGTTGTGGCGTATGTTTTCCCGCAATTCCAGTCGGCGCACGGCTATCTGAGGGCGCGCTCGTGTTGGGTTCTGCACCACTTCTATCAAATCACGTTCACCAACGACGCCAACCTCTATCAGGGCCTGTCTTACCTCCAGAACTGTCTGCTCACTGATAAGGATCTTCCGGTCAAAGTTCAAGCGGCCATCTCTTTGCAAGACATGATCTCTTCGCAGTCCAAAGCGCAGCAAATGATTGAACCGAATATCACGCAAATAGCGCTGGAATTACTGAAAGTGATTCGTGAGACCGAAAGCGAAGAACTGACAAATGTTATGCAGAAAGTTGTCTGCAATTTCAGCGAACAGTTGACACCCATTGCCATCCAAATGACCGAACACTTGGCNTTAGCCAATTATAAGATTATTGATTACACATTGGGTCCTCATTATGACTATAAAACTATAAAAACGACTAAAATATTACAAATACTGTACATTGTATTAACAAATGCATGAAAGAAATGAATTGATTTGAGCAAAATGAGCAAGAATATAATAAATATTAGTTGCATTCATAATTAAATAAATAATTATATTAGTAAATAAATGGTCTTTTTTATTCATAATTATTAATTGAATATAAAGTAAAGTAATGTTAATTTTAGTAAAATTATTAGTGATTGTCTTCAAGTGATGAGTGGTTTTTAAAATTATTGCCAAATAATCGTCTAATAATTGACTAAAAATGAATTGAATATTGATTTCACTTATATTCCACTGATTTACTAACATTTGTACTAAACTTACCATAAAGTAAATCCAATCGCTAATCAATTGATAGGCAAATAAAAAAAGATTATTTAACGAAGTATTGAATAAATGATTTAAAAATATGATTCAAATAAACATTTTATTTCATATATTTATCGCTTGTATTGTATAATGAAATGAGATTAGAGTTTAGAATTAAAGCCATGTTTTGTTTGATCTCTAAATATATTTACTGTTATATACGGTATTTATATTATATAGAAATACATGAATTGATTTTGTAATTTAGACATTATATTATAGGTTATAATTTAAAATCAAAAGTCCATTATAATGACAAACAAAATGATCTATTTATCAGTTTTACAACACTTTTTCACTTCATTTGTTTGATTTATATATTTTAACATTAATTTTATAGGTTTTAATCATTTAATTAAATGTCATAATAGAGGCACTATTTATATAAATATTAAAATGGGATATAATTTAATGTTTGTTTTCATTTTGCTGACCATTAAAAAGACAAAAAATCATTTTATGGCAAAACAATCTAAAAATCATAATTCAAGTCAATTGATATATACTTAGAAAATCTAACAATAAATTTTAAAACAATTATTAAATTAATATATTATATAAAATGTAGTCTTCATTTGAAGTCCACATTTCAAACATAAAAATTCATCGATATTTCACTTATTTTATGTTAAAATTAAGGGAATGTTTTGTCACATAAATTGAAAATAAAATCCATTTTTAACATCACTTTTGAATTTATAAATTATTAAACAAATAAAAACACGTCAGAAAAGAGCAGACTTTTCACACAGAAAAATGTTTGGATAAGTTATTACTTATTATGCAATCGATTCGTTAGAAAATCAATCGTCTATTTCGATGAATAAGTCATTTATATAGTGATAATGAATGAATGAATTCAATCAAATGATCGCTCAATAGATTCAGAAATACAAACGAAAAGATAATATTCTTGTAAAATATAGTTTTTGTTTAACATTTTGTTTCCACTCAACTGTGCTCTCAATCCTATAAACTAAAATCAAACCATTTATGAGTTTATTGTTATTTTCGTTAACCTTTTTATAATACTTTTAGAAATCATATAATTATTAACTTCAAAAACCAGTTGATTATTATTATCGGTTTGTAATTAATGTCAAAATTAATCATAAGAATCGCATATTCTTTGGTTTATAACTAATTTTGCAATTCTTTCTGTTTTTAAGTGTTTTGTTTTTTGTGATCATTTTAATGAATATTTTGCAAAATATATTAAAACTGCTCGAAAAGTAATTCACAAATACGTTGGGAAACCGTGTCTTTGCTCGACCTAATCGTCAATCGATACATCTGTTCAAAAAGCAAACAATTCATTAAATCAATAGATATCTCATTTCCAAACTTATTCATAGCTTTAAAAGACAGACCACTAATTAAATATCAATTAAAAACACTTCCTATTTAAGCAAAATTAGATTAAATACTGAAATAAATTTCAATTATAAATAATTTAATTAAGAAATTGTTTCAATAGATAATTGAATAATTAAATCACTCTATGAATGCAAAATAATGGTCCTATAAATAGCTAATGAAATTCTCTTTTGGCTAACAATCTATTTAAAATCATTAGACTTAAAGACTAAACAATGCCAATGAACTAATAGATGGACAACAAAAGCAGACAATAACATACCTGCGCCGGCATATTGGGCTCGAGTCTGAGGAGAACGCCGACCTGAACAGCCTTACTGTGCACAATACCCGCGCACACAAAGTTCTCAGGATTCGGGTCCACGTTCTCTAATAGTTCAAACCCAAAGCCTAATAACTTAGATTTGGTCACTTCGGCGTCCATTCCGTGTTTGGCTTTAAATATTTTCTGCGCCTCTTGTGATGGACTGAATGAGAAAGGGTTTAAATCATGGGTTAATAAA